AAATCCCCAAATTATCATCAGTCCCACTGAACAATTTCCTGGGGATAGCAGTGGCCAGGGGGGCTTACATAACCTATATTGCTCGAATGAAGATATGGATCGACCACCACTCGAATGAAATATGTTTTGAGTGAGATGTATCTCTCGCATGTGGATGTTTGGAGCAGGAGAAGGATGAGGAAATGGTGCGTTAAATGTTACGGGACACCGATGTAGAGAGACGAGCAGATGACTTCTGACTGGCAGATTCAGGTCAGTGTAAAGGATTACGAGTAAAGGGAACAGAATTCGGAGCCACCGGGGTCCAAAGAAACTTTTTTTTCTGCGTATGATCCAGGATTCCCAGGACGTATATGCACCAACCAGCTTCGATCTGTCTTTTGGTAACCTTCATATTCTTAAAATTTCTGCTCTGACGTCTGCTTAATGAGTAGTTTCTACAAGGTGAGTCATGATTGTGAACCTGGACCAATGCACGCCAGATAGTCTTCATGCATTTCTTTAGAGAGACAAGGTGTCATTCAAATTGTATAGCCTGGATCATGGCAAGTGAGCAGGTGTGCAAAGATGCAGTTGGTGGGACAGTGTTTCCTTGTCTGCGTTTTGAAACTGTGGACTGGTAGTGAAAAGCACCGAGGGTTGAAATAAAGGGTAAAAATACTGCATATTTTAAATCCGGATGCCGACTCTATGCTGCATGCAATGCACTCTACTTGGTGGACGTTTGTTGAACAACTCTTTACTTCCAAGTCTGGTCGTAAATTGGCATAATGGGCCGGAGGGTCGTTTGGCAAAAAAATAATTTTTTTTCGGCCTGAATTCTCCTAATTTTTGGAAGGACTTTTCCATAAGCATCCTACGGTCTTTACATGTGCATTCGAGACAAGTAGAGTAGATATGCCTTCTAAGTAAATCTTGAACATTACAGTGGGGCAGTTAAACAGTCGATTTCAGTAGGATTGACTGTGTGAGCATCAGCAGGGTGGGCCTAGGGACGGTGACCTGCCCCTGAATTCGCCAACACTCACAGCACTACTTTCACTACATTTACTGTGGTCTCTCTCTTCGTTGATCCTTCAGGATCCGTTATCACGACAGGATCGAGAAGAGTGGGGGCGCAGCGGGAGTCTGCACCTAGGCGTGGCTGGCACGGCGTGAGTCTGCACCTAGGCTTCCCACCAAATCTTGCTCTATATTTGGCACTTGTTATGGACGTACATTCCAAGAAAACTTTCGGTTCTCTAATCTGGCCCCCTGTTGGAATGGGGCACCTAGTTAGTGGTTTTTTGTAGGGGCAACTACGGCATATAAAACAGTATGCATAACCCGTTTTCCTGCCTGCCGATCTTTTTATGAGCCACTTATGTTTAGTCTTGGTGCGCCTTCCAATGGCGAGACCGTTGGGATAGTCAATGATGTCATCTTAGTTGAATATACTGCGAAACATGCCAATCAAATTGTTCAATTCATTTCTGAAAAACCATTTCTGCTGGTCTGGGACCTAAGCCTGTGACCATTTGATTTTGATTACAGCTTTATTTCTGAAGAATATAACACCGTACTTTGCGGTTTTATTACTCGATTCTTTGCAGTCCCAGCACTTTTTTACTTTTTCTTGAAAAAAACATTGCCTTACAGCTAGGAGTTAGCAGGAGTAGCCTACACGCCTGGAATTGAGCTTGCCAAGAATCGCGAATACAATGTAAACTGATCTTTTTCTATAAGGTCCTATCTAAGATCCTAACTGTTCAGTCTCTCAGGACCGGACTTGTTTACTGCATTCAGTGGGTCGTCGCGCAGGACCTAATGCATAACGCCTTCAAACTCCCAAGCGCGTTAAAAGTGAAACATAAGCAGGCATTTTGCGCATTCCGGTGCAGTTTTAAATATTCACAGACGGTAGGTTGTGCTTTCTTATCAGAATTACAACCAGTTCTCACAGAATACAGAAAGATCAGAAACCAATCATGACAGCACCGAGTGAACATGTCCCATAACAGTGGATGCGAATAGGTCACTAGGCATGATGAATGTTGTGCCAAACAAACAAATTTAAAACCAAGTCTGGCAGATTAATTTGAACGTTCAATCCAGACTCTACGTGTAACGTACGCAGCACAGGGAATAAGTACTGAAGGTAGGCGTTAAGGCGCTCGCTGCTAACTGCTAATCCAATCGGATCTTCAGGAGATTCAAATAAATATCAAAGGGAAAAGTAAGTAGAGGAAATACAAAGTATAGATAAACCTCGATAAGGTGACACTCGTTGCGTTCCCCTTTTTAGCACACTAGAAGGCTTGTCGTAAATCGCACTTAAACCGTCTCGTGGAGCTTGGCTCTTACACTAATAAGGAAGTAATGCCACCGGCATATCACGGATCGTGATGCACAGTTAGGTGCATGTGCAATGCTAATTTACCATTCTTGGTTAGCTGGTTGCGTAGGATAGTCTAAAACGACAGTCCACCATCACCTGTCCATGTTAGTATTTCTTTCTGGTAGCTGAATAGAACGAAAACACTGAAGATGACAACTCTTCTATCAGTTACAATACGCTTGATATATACAAAATATAATATTGTGTCTAAAATCGGAAAGTAGTTTTTGATTTCAAAATCGAGATACCCCATCGGATCGCCTTCTGTTTGCCACTCTGTGGGGTGTGTTACGTGTTTTAAACTCCACCCTAGCCCTCTCCATCACAGCAGTCAACCTTTAAGTTGCAAATGCGCTGAAACCTTTTGCACACGAATATTAGTTTCAAATGCCTTTACTGTTAAGGGCGACTGACTTCACACGTCGACAGCACATCTTCGACGAAATGCACTGAAAATAAAAGCAAAATACTTTCAGAATCTGCGTGTTTAGCAGGAACTAATACAGAAATTTTTGTCAAAACACACACCAAATGTCTGGCAGCCTATCAGATATGTGACATGCAGTTTCATTTTCCTGTTCGGCATCTCTTCACAAGCAACTGGCTCTTTTTTGCCTTTCCTCCAAAAGGACATCGTTCCGATCGAGACGGCAGCCAGTGCGCTTTCCTCCGACGACTCGGATGCCGAATGTGTCTCATCAAAGTGCACGCTGAGAGTGCTGTGCCTTCAGAATTTCGTTCCACCCGCGGAAGAAGTCGGCCGCGTTTTGTTGCACCTAGCAGTTGCTCTGCCTCGACTCCGCTTCTTCCACCTCTATCCCGCTTTCTATGCCTTCCCGGGAGCAAATGAGAAGGAACAGCAGCGAAATCGTTCGCAGGAAATTGCGCAGAGTAATGCTTACATTCGACGTCGTGGGTGTAATAACCTGCAGATCCGGTAACAATCTCCAGTTTGGTCCGGTGGTATCTTCTTTCAGTCAATTACCAAAGCCCGACGTTCAGTGTGGTCCAGATTTCCTGAGCCAGGGATTGGTCACTCTTCTTCTTCTTCTTACTTTCATTCATTGGTTCACGGAAACAGACGACTATTTTGACCTGAATGCATGTGTCTTTCTCGAGGACGATTTCCATTTTGTACACCAAATGTGATCTTATTTCTATTGTGTCTTTATATAACAAACTTCATTGCATGAAGTTGTCTTTGTGTTTGCACAAAAGTGCTGTTAGGACGAATCTTTATCTGGCCGGTAAGGCAGCAGTATCTTAAGTAAGCGATCCTCCGCGCCTTGTTAAAACCTTCTGTTTGAACTTAACAAAGCTTTCCTGTGCGCAAAGATTGTCTTGGCACGCCAAACCTAAGATGGTTAACAGTCAAGTTGGTCGCCCACATCGTATATCCCTAGTCGTCTGGTTGCTTTTAGTTTTATAAGCTTTATTTTACTTAAGTTTTATTCCATTATTTATTTCATTAGTTTAATTTTAGGTTTAGCTTAGTTTATTTAAATGCCACCAATGTTATACAAATATACTTAAAAAAGTGTTTTGACCTCTTGACTTCTCAAACTCTGTACCCAACAGTCACGCGTACGTCAAAACCAATGATTACAACAATCAAGGCAATGCGGTACTATGAAGCAAAAATAGTAGAGGATAAATAGTATACAAAACTTAACAATGGACACCCAAGTCAAAAGCAAAGGCGGTCGGCCAAATCGTCTGACTCTGTACAAGGGAGCAACACAACTTCAACAATAACGTCACGCAGGACGAAACGAGTCTTGGGAAAGCTTGTGTGTGTTAGTGGGAGAGGGGAGGGTTGGTAGCTTCGCTTTTATATGATTTCACGAGCAAATTCATGTAGCATCAGGATTTGTGTGAAAAACCAGCGCGAAGGGGGGCGGGTTCGTGACCAGAGGCAATATGAAAGTGTCAGCGGCGGGGGTGGCTGGACCAATGGTTCTCGGAGTAGCCGCCGCAATTGGATCAAGAAG